TGGGAGCGCTTCCCCATTTGGCTTTTTCAGAGGCCTCCACCGCATGGTTCTTTTTGGGGGGGCGTTTCACCCTATGGCTTTTTTCTTGATTTCTACAATGCCTAATGTGTGTTGGAGCACTTAGTGGCACTGTCTTGGGGCAGTATTTCACAACCTGGCTGTTTTGGAGTGCTTCAGGCCATGGGTTTTATCGTAGCACTTCAATGCACAGCCCTGTGGTAGCCCTTCATCACTATCCTGCCTGGAGGACTTCAACACATGTCTTTTTTGGCGCTCTACCTCCCGGCTTTTTTGGAGCACTTCAACATTTGGCTTTTTCAGAGTGCTACCCCCCAGATGCTTTCCATGTATTACCTTCCACATTTTTCTTCTGGAACCAGCAGTTGAGCATCTGATTGAGTTTACATGGGGTTTTTATGTTCCTCAATGGTCTTTTGAGCTTGGGGTTGTATTTTTCTGGGGAATGTTACCATCTTTGTGTCTTCTCTTCTGTCAGTTTTACTCAGTTCTGTTTTTGAGGGTGGTGACTTTGTGCTTTGAGCCACTTTGTGCTCAGTGTTGATTCTTATTATTCATGGTTTTCTTTGTGGTTTTATATCAGATTTTGTCATTCGTTCTCTTGTTCTGGATGGTATTAGGTAGGTCACTTTGGTGATCCCTGTCTCATCGATGGTTTGGGGCCCTTTCCTGGCACCACTTGTTAGGGTGGAGTCTGTAGAACAGGGTCCTAATGTAAGGTAAGACACAACAGGATCTGGTGAGGATCTGGGTGAGTCTAAGCAAGTAGTGTCTGTCTTGTCTCAAATCTCCTTTATTCTGCTCAGTGGTGTGGTTTTTTTCAGCACAGATGATATCGGGTGTTTGGAAGGGGGTAGCCGACACAGGGAGCGAAGGAGAATGCAGACACCAGAAGTACTAGGTAAGTACCTAGGTGCCCAAGTGACGAAAGCTGAAGCATCTGTTGCTACTTGTTGGAGGCATGGGAATCCTGGGAATATCTGCATGGCCCTGTCACCAAGGTGGCTGGTGCGAGCTGGTGGAGTTCTCAGGGCCATGCCGTAGGAGTGTGGTGCTGTGCTGCAGAGGCAGCAGCTGGAGGGTGCTGTTACCACAGGAAAGGCTGCCAAGCTCAAAGCAGAGGGAGCACGGTTAAGTCTGAGCTCCTGAGTGAGTCAGTCAGTCCTCAGGGAAATTTCATGTCCTGGCTATTGTGACCCACCCTGGCCTTGAGGTCTTGCAGGGCGTCCTCCTTTGGTAGAGGGACAATGGTTGGAGTTTCTTTTCCTGCTATTGCTTTATTAAAATACATACGTTATTTTCTGAGTGCCTGTTTCTGAGAATAACTGCTTTTTCTTCTCTTAGCTGTTCGGGGTCACCATTTTAGTTTCCAGTTACACCTGGGTGCTTTTTTTTTTTTTTCAGAGAGGCAGTGTGAAGGAGCAGAGACTGGATTTTGCCTTCGGTAATACCTGGAGGAGCTGCTGCAGAAGGAAGCGACCCTATGGTTTTGGAAGTTGTGCCACAGGAGGACAACTGAGCAGGAATCAGACATGGTAGCACCACATTTTTGATTTTGGCAATAAATTGGATCAAGCCACAACTGAGACATGGTGGCATCTGGTTTATTCACTGCATGGTTATCTAAGCCCTGCTAACAGCTCTCAGGAGGATGCCTCATGCCCACCCACTCCTCATCCTTGACACATCCCACAGTTCCTGCCTGATGAAGTCCTTATAGCTGCTGTGCCACTCCATAGTGGGCAGCTAATGGCCATGGAGGTTTCAGTGCAGTTTTTACTGCCTTCCGGTGGGTAAGAGCTTGTGCTGGAACGGGCTGCTTCTCCTCCACGACAAATGCTGCCTTCTTCCCAGCTCGTGCTTTTCTTTCTTTGTTTAAGCATGGCTCTTGCAAGCAGAGCTCCACGTAGGTGCAGTCCATATTCAATTCCCTCACTAAATGTTGCCATTCAGTGTGGGTGAAAAAGTGTTTCTGCAGGGAGGGGTCAGGCAGGAGGCAACAGGGTAGCCCCCACCTGACAGGGACCCAAGGGATCACCCATCTCTGGAGTACCCGTTGGCACCCACACTCCCCAGCCTGAGTTGTGTGGGTACAAAAAAGCCTTTATTTCTTTTTCCCCTGCACAACTCAGTTAAGCTATCAAGAGTGTGGGGTCTGGCCCCCTCCCTCGGCAACTCTGGTTGAACCGTGGCCTACCTGCTCCCCCATGCCCCAGGGAGCCACTCGGGTCAGAGCCTGTCCCTGCTGCACACTTTTGCACTTAAAGGAAGTTTTTAGGTGACTTTAAGAGTTATTTTAATTCTCCATTTATGTGTAGTCATAGGTGGCGGGCAGGCCCTAGCTGATGGATGGGGCCATACCCTGTCACTCCCTAGACAACATGAGTTCTGTGGGGACAAAAAATCTCCGTGGGGTTTCTGTCCCCATGCAAGGCTCGCTGCCCCAGGGCCTGTGGTTGCTGGAGCTTGGTTTAGGAGCAGACATTGGTCCCTGAAAATAAACCCTGTGACCGGTTTTGGGGTGTTTGGAGTTGGTGCAGACACAGGCTAAGGGCAATGTGGCTGCTTGGCTGCTCTGATCAGGGAATAGGGGACCGTCACCCTTCCTCAGTGAGAATCCCTGCTTTCTGGGTATGCTGCTCACAAACAAATGCAGTTGAGGGCAAAGCACAGCTTTTTCTGCTGCCTTATCCAGTGGTTCAGACTGAAACACTGCTTTGCTGCTGGGAAAACCTAAAACGGCAAAATAAGGCAATGTCGTGGACCCTAAAACCTAAATCTGCAGTAGGGACTGTGGCAGCTACTGCTTTACTGCCCTTCGCACGGACAGGGATGTGGTGGTGTCTGAGCACACTGGGCAGGCCGGATCAGAAGAGCTCTTTTGGAGCTCTCATAGTGATTTCCAGAATTTTAAAGTTCTTTCGCCCAAATTTTGCTTTGTACTAGATGGCTTGGTTGGGGTTGAGCTTGCTATTTTTTTAATAATGCAGCCTGAGGTAGATTTCCAGGTGTGGAAAATCGTCAGTTGTTTGGCTTTGTTGCATCAAGAAAAGTCTAGGAAAAATAGGTGGAAGGAGTATCAGGACACTCAAGTACCAGGTAGTATTGCTAGCTAATCCCAATAACTAGTACAGGTTTCAGGAGGTAAATATGGGTGCATAGTTTCAGAAGAAACCATGAGATTTCAGGAGAAATTACAAGATTAAGCCTCTTGATGATGAAATGCTGCAGCTCTCTGGTCCTTTAAATTTCTTTGGCAGGCTGGGAAACAAATGGATTTAGTACTTACCCCTATTCAAAAATGTCATTTTGAAGAATGATTTCAGTAATTGTTTTGCCTAACAGCAAATGATGAGATCGTCTCCAATGTGTGTTTTTTAAGAGCAGCTAATGACGAGAGGATTTGAGCACTTCAATGGATTTGAATATCCTTTTGTCATTAAATTTAATTGGTCAGCCTCGTAGTTTTTCTTTAGCAGAAATCAGATAATTCACATTAGTCACTTGTGTAGGAAAATTATGGCTAAGGAAAAAACACTAAAAATAACTCACAATGCTGATATTGATTCCATGTTTACTGTTTTATTAGCAGGATTTGCTGCTCACTTTAAATTCACAAATAGACAAATTATTTACAAAAGCCATTTACTCCAAAAGTAGGCAGGACCACATACTTTAAAACAGGAAGCATTTGTCATCACAATAGAAAAGACTTGATTTCAATACACAAAAGTCCATGATATCATATGTGTAGTTTAAATGAGTAGGTATTACTGCTACTGTCACCTGCTTTATCACGATTATCAGTTAAGAAACACCTGTTCTGGAGTTGCACAAAATCAGAATAGTATGAACAGCACTGGGGGAGGCAACGCAGAATTCATCTTGAGTTGTTGCCTCACCTACGACCAGACAATGAGCTACTCAACTCAACCAGTGACTGACTTGCTGAAGCCTTGAATCTCTCTCCATTGCTTACAGAAAGATCTCTGTGCTGTTTTGAGCCTACTTGTCCTTTATTTTGAAGGTGTACACAGACTTGGTAGGATGTCTAGGCCTGGTTCAGCAGGGTGGATTTTTTCCCACTAACATAGTTTTATATGGGTCCCACTGAAAAACAAGTTGAAACATGTGAAATTCCGTCTGAACGTAAGAAAACACTTTTTTACTGCGAGGGCTATTGCACGCTGGCACAGGTGGTCCAGGGAGGCTGTGGAGTCTCCATCCCTGGAGTCAGTCAAAGCCCAGCTGAACACAATGCTGGGCAACCCGTTCTAGCTGACCCTGCTTGAGCAGAGGGGTGGACTAGACAATCTGGAGATGATGTTCCCCACCCCTACGATTTTGTCATTGATTCTGTGACAAGCTCAGTGACTCAAGGCAGCAGAAGCTGGCCATAAGGTGCCTGGAGGCGAGAGAAGGGAACAGGTCCCTTCAATATGTAGCTGTGCCATTTCCAAATACATAGTAAACAGTAACACTGTACATAGAACTACAGAGTGGAATTCAATAAAATATTCTTAAACAAGGTGTCACAGGCAGAGACTTGAGGTTTTCACTAGACAGTTAAGCAGTATTTAGCTTTGTAGAGAATGTGCCTGTCGTAAGAGCATGCTGCACATTGCACGATAGAAAGCTGGTGGTCTCTAGACTTCAAGGAGCTTCATCATGAGGGGTAAACTGAGAGGATAAAGAGTGACATGAAGCAAAATGGGCTTTTGCCATCCTTCCTCTTGTGAGCAGAAGGAAAAGGACACCAAGTAGCTTAACTGTATGAATGATAAGCTCAAAGGGGTTAAAGAGATTTATCTTAAGAAGAAACAAAGAGGCATCATTGCTAGGATCAGCAATCAACTCTTCTATCATTATAATATGCTTTAATGCATTCATAGACTTTTTTGTTCATCTTAAACAACTCTACAATGAGTGTCTACATCCCAAGTTTACAGAGGGGTGAACTGAAGCCCAGCATCAGTCTGAGTTACGGGATTATACAGCAGTCCAGTGAAGAGTTCTGGTGGAAATACATAGCAGGCTGCTTTTCAAGGGCTCTCACCATTGGAGGGTATTCGCACAAATGAGGGAGAAGCTTCTGAGGAGGCATTATTTCCTCTTTTCTCTCTCTCCAAAATATGTGAGATTAGAACTGCAGAACATTTATTTCAGTTTTATGCAGTCTACTTCCTCTGTGACTGGCATTGCACTTGTTCTCAGGTCTAAATCTGTGCTAGATTTGCTTCCATTATATGTGGATCTCCATCTGAGCAACATGATCTTCTTGAAATACTTCATGGTGTTATTTTTTACAGTTACAAAACACATGGTGTTTATCATGCTGTTACTCATAGCAATGCATTCAACTATGTAAAAAGCAGTAAGATAATGCTTCTCTTTCACAAAGATGGTGGGGAAAAAGTCACGGACAATTGTGAAGCCATAGAAAGGTGCCCAGCAGAGAACATAGGCAGTCAGGATGCACATCAGTACCATGACAGTTTTTCTTCTGCATCGAAGCCTCTTTCTGATCTGTTCTGTCTGAAATCCTGGTACGGTTTTAAACCAAAGCTCCCGAGAGATCCTGGCATAACACAAGGTCATCGTAATCACAGGTGCAACAAATTCAATGCCGAAGATGAAGAGGAAGTATGACTTGTAGTACATCTGCTGGTCAACTGGCCAGATTTGACCACAGAAAATTTTCTGCTGGTTTTTCACTATAAATAACACTGTTTCAGTAGCAAAGTATGCAGATGGGATAGCTACAAGTATGGAGACGATCCAGACCAGGGCGATTAGGAAAGTTGCTGTTTGATAATTCATGCGTGGTTTCAGTGGGTGAACAATGGCCAGATACCTAGAACAGACAAATGCATTCAAAATGAAGTCTGAAAACACTGTTAGTCAGAACACGCTTCAAAATACAGGTGCACAGAATTAGGCAGAAGGGACTTGCTGTCATTCTTTAGGAGAGAGCCTGACAAATTTGTCTGTGAGGAGAGTTAAGAAAATTTTCAGGAGCAGCAGCCTAGAGCTGAGTTCCTAACTCTAGGCAGAAACTCTGGAGCGAGTGGTTGAAGGGTTTGTTAGGACAGTGGGTACTTGATAATCTGAAAATCTGAGCGTACCTTAGGATATCTGAGGGTGGTTTAAGACCTCAGTCTTGAACACCTACCTGTTAACAAGATCAAACTGAAAAAGTTGCAATTTTGTATCACAAACTTTTCCTTTTTAACAGGGGTTACATGTCTGGGAGTTACAGAAAGATGGGAAGAGGAGAAAGAGAGGGACTATTTCTATTACTGACAAATAACGTTTGCAGGACCTAGCACAATACGCGGGTGATGTCGTATCCAGGACGTGCCACGATATAGCATCTGGAAGTTCTCGGCTGGACAGCATGTGTTCAAGTGAGAGTTTAAAACATGCAGTGATATACACCTAGTCAGGTGCAGGTAAAAAGACAACACGTAGAAGCAGGAAAATGTTTTCCCTAGGCAGAGGTCAAATATACGTAACAGTGTGTTTATTATTTTCTTGGTTATTCCATGGAGTGCAAAGAGGTGAATCTGACGCTAATGAATGGTTACAGGTAAGCATGTTTTCAAACCACCAACAAAGGATTGTGTATCCATTTTCTGCACATGCAAATTTTTGTTTTGTCTGCTGGAGGTGACTATTGCTAATTAATCTTGAATATGCTGTGTTAAGTAATATGCCAAACCATAAAACTTAAGTTAGGTACTTACACCTTGCAGCTTTACAGCCATAAGGAGTGCATTGCAGTGTTTCACAAAGAAGTGTGGAGAAATGGAAGTACATTACTTGCAAGATCCTTCAATTGCCCTCAATTCAGTTAAAAAGGGGCTAGGACCAAATGGCATTCATTCTGGGGTTTTTTGTTTGGTTGGAGTTTGGGGGGGTTGATTTTTTAAGAAGCTATAGATATAAGAAGAGCTTACGTTAGATTACACTGTCCCAGAAAGATCAGGATATTTCTGCTAAAAGGAGATTTTTTCAGAGCTCCCAGTACAATTGTATTTAACACAAAGGATTGTTCCAAAAAGTGGATTTTTTCATTCATTCAGAGGCTTTTCTATCTGTATATATTCTATACATAGATAGCATCCACAGGATATATTCATTCTAAAATGAAACGGAAAGTCAGTGGTGCTTTTCATCAGCCAGATCTTGGAAGCAGATGAATTGTTCATCACTCTCAATAGTGCAGGCTAGATGTCAAGGGACAGCAGAATTAGTCAGCCTCATTGTGGAGCTGATAAATGGATATTTTTAGATCAGGTCCTGTGGAAACAAGGTTGTGGGATAATGTATGTGTATGCATTCATAAGTATGCATATCCGCTCAGCAGAACCTTCGGCTGGATGGGGTAAATGTTACAAGAGAGTCAGGAGGGAGCTTTTGTAGTGGATTTTCCAATTGTCATTGCTTACCACGCTTGGGCTGTTACTGTGGGGTGGTCCTGGAGCACATGAACTGAGTTCCGATGAAACTGCTCTGGAAGATGTGCTCCAAAAGGGTACATAAAACACACTAAGTGCCCATGGGCGTTCAGTCCAGGGGACCCAGCTAAAGCTAAATCCCCCCAAATATTTACAGCATGGACATTGGAATCTTAGCACGAACTGTTGCTTTTAAGATCCTCTCCTTTCACATTGCATTATTTTCTAGTGTAGATGTGGCCTTAAATATGTGAAATTCCTACGTTTCCTGTGAATAGACATCAAGGAAGATGAAAGAGTCCTACCTGAGGGAAATCCTGTGGGACCGACTTATCTCTCTATACAGGTGAGCCCTTTAAAATGATCTAAACATGGGAAGACTTCTGTTAGGAGTCTATTCTTTTTAGAGACTGAAATCAACAACCCACATGACATAACCAACATGGAATTGTTGATTGTTAAATGAACAAGATTTATGTCTGTTTACCAAGTCAAAAGCTCACAAAAAAAAGGCAGTGAAACCAAAACAGTATGTTCTTACAACAAGCTTAAGTGATTAATCATTTCCAGGATTGTGTTTAAAGATGCGTGGGGAGATATGCTAGAAATCTTCAGATTTCTTAGCAGGCATAAGGGCTCAATGACCTGTGTTACTTCATCAACCTGGGATGCACTAGCAGAGCTTTCCAAGAAAATTTTTTAGAAGTTGAAAAAGATAAGTAATAGAAAATGGTAATGCATACATGATAGTGTTTAGAAGCTTAACCCTGAGTCCTCAGCTGGTGTTCAAATGTTATCTTGTTAGACACTTGTTAAGGATTTGTTTCATAGGAGCTGATTGTCCTTTGCCCCCCCACCAGGCAAAACATCTCTTAACATCCCCAGAGTCTTTCCACCGACTGCAGTTGACGTCAATAACAGCTGAATCAGCCGTGCACAAGCTGTATCTGTACAATCATCAGCAGGGTTAACGGCTCCTGAGCTGTCTTTTGGATCAGGTACCAAAAACTATGCAACATTAGACTACAGCATAAAATGACACACGAGAGAAATTGGAAAAAAAAGGACAGGGGTAGGAATCATAGAGCGTGTATATGGAGAGGGTATACAGAGATATATATTGTGTTTGTACACAAAAGATGACTTGCTGTGATGGCCTCCTGTGAGTCAATCGTGTCAGATTTATGTCAGCATGAAGCTGATCCTCAGCGCCTGCATCCGTCAGAGTCCATGGTGCACGAGGCTAAGAGAATAGGAGTCATAAGAAAGGATACAATTAAATTATAATGTTAAAATTCCTGGAGTGAGAGGCAGGCATAGAAATACCTCAGGACTGCAGCATAAAGCAGGTAGTATGGCAGGTGGATATCATTATGTTCTGCTTATCCCATTATGAAGGCTGTAGGAAAATCTTGGCTAAACTGGGTTGGTGTAGCATTTTACTATTTTCTGGGCAGTACCGTAAATACAGGTGCCATAAATGACCTGTAGTCTTTCCTGGCTTGCACTGTGCCATCCTCAGAGAGGTGTGTAAAGAGAGAGGAGGGTATGAGAGGAGAGTATTTTAATGGAGAGGAGAGTGCTCACCACACTCATGGAGCATCCGCTTCTGGGTTGGAGCATCCAGCTAAGACCTCAGTGCTATCAAGTGGTTAATTTAATGTTTGTTGGGTTTTCTCAGTACAGCACAACAGAGAATAAGAATTCCATTTTGCAGGCTAGCCCTAAGTCTTGTCTTTTACTGTGTTTTACATCAAAACAAATGCTGGGAAAAATACCTTAGAGGGAGAAAGAAATACCCTGTAAGGCAATAACCCTGGTGGAAACTCACCTGTCAAATTCTGTGTCACCACTCAGCTGTTTCTCTCACAGAAAAGTATTTACTTCACTGTTTATAGAAAAGGTTATACTCAGAAAAGCTGTGTAGGCCAGTAGTGAAGGTTCCTTAGGGATTTATGGCTTGGATCAGAATTATATAGTGCTGATGAACACCCTTATCTTGGGGTGTTTCTGACTTGTCTCTCTCTTTCTCCTCTTTTCCTTTCTCCCTCCTACACTTGAATCAAGCATATTTTTATGAGAAAAAAATCGTTTTAATAAATCAACATTATTTTCACCTGAAAAGTTCAATCAAGATATTTCCGCTGAGTTTTCTCCAGAGTAATGTCATGACCTCATGTGATTAAATTTTAGTGAAACAAGATGCCCAGGTCAGTGTAGTACCTACCTGGACATCAGCAAATCGTGCAGAACAGCTGAGATGTTAAAAACCTAGAAACCTGGAGAGCCAGCTTCAGAAGCTCTGCCCATCTCCTTGTGCAGTCATAGCACCCCACTTACCTATCAACAGCTATAGCCAGGAGAGCGTTGGTAGAAACATAGAGGGAGACGGTCCGTAGGTAGTTGACTGAGGCACAGAGGACGTGGCCATGCTCCCAGGACAGCTGCCGCACCACATAGTAGTCCATCTCGAAGGGGCAGCACACAATGGCCACAATGAAGTCCGAGATGGCCAGGTTGGCAATCAGCAGGTTGGTGAGGTTTCGCAGCTTCTTGTAGCGGGCGAGAGCAGCAATGAAGATGAAGTTGCCGATGCCACAGACCAGCATGATGCCAACCAGAGCCACCCCGATCACAATCTTGGCTGCAAAGAAGGTGCGGGTTTTGGTCATGTCGTCTTCACTGTCCAGTGGCAGGTCGTAGTCGCTGTAACTGAAATTGAAAGGGAAGGAGAAGTTTCGCAAGGAGGTTAAATCCCCATCGTGGAGATTGTAGATTGCAGCAAAGTTGAGGTTGGCAGTAGCATTTGGGTTATGTGCAGCTTGCTCCATGGCCATGTCTGTTGTCTTTTGACACGTGTGGCTCGGCTGACCCTTGGTTTCGTGTTAGAATTGCCCAGTGTGGCAGGGCACGACAGCGGCAGGTGAGAGACCTCATCCAAAGTCTCTTTCTGAGCAGCAAGTCACCTTGTCTTTGTCCCGGTGAGATTATAGAGCACCAGCCTCATTTATCTCTTTCTGTGGGAACAAAAAGAGGAAAACATTTACTGAGAGGAAATTACAGCAAAAATACTGTGCTTGAGGGAAAGCAATAGCCACCTTATTGCCCCACAGCTCTATTGCTGGCTGTGCACAGTGGGAAGAAATACCCTGTGAAAGGATGCTTCTGTTAGCATAAAATCTCTCGAGTTGCATAATACGGTGGTTGTTACACCCAGCAGTTTTATTTACCAATGACGAAATTTTGTTTTCAGCACACAGTGAAATGACAATATAGGAGGAGTGTAAACTCCAGTTTAAACCTCCGCTAGCCTTCAAGCCCACAGTGCTGTCATTCCTGTGCAAGGTAAAAAAACTGAAATGAGATGACCCCTCAATTTGCTGAAAAGTATCTGAAGTGCCTTTTGGACAAAGTTTTCGCTTTATGCTAGATGTCTCAGAGTGATGTGGTAGATGAGAATGAAAAGAAAACTGATATCCTGGCTTCTGAATACGTTTCTTAATTAAGTAAGAGTTGCCAAGACTCAAGAAAATAGTGAAGCCAGCACTTTCCTTTTGGCAGCTATTAACTGAGTAGGGGGACCAAATTTTCAGCCAGCATAATCCATTATTGCTTCTCTCAAACCAGTGGAGCTCTGCTAATTTGCATAGACAAGATTTTGTCCCATGAACCAGTTTTGTAGGGCTTTGCTGTGAAGGCAAATCTGCCGTTCACAGGGAGAGTGCTTCCACAAACAGGCTCTTGAGGTGAAAGGGAAAATCTTCCTTAAGCAAGACAAAGTGCCTTGAATTTTTGAAGATGGGGAGAAGCAGGCTCCCCTCTTTGTACAGCCAGTTGTACCAAATGTTAAAAATTGATTTATTTTCAACACTGGGGAAAAAAAAAAATGTAATCTACTCCCTAATTTTGCCTCTAGTCTGTATCAAAATGCTGAGAGGGCTGTCTTCTTGCATCTTCCCATGCCACATCTGGGAATCCTCCCACCAGATTCCCAACTGTCAGGACAGTCCCACCCCATCCCAGAAGAGAACCGGGGCATTACCACATTTTCTGCATTGAGGCAGTAGGTCCCCAGGGTGTCAGATGCTATTGAACAATGTCCATCATGGCTACAAAGGACAATCTGCATAGTGGAGCTGTTGCCCCCTTCTTTCCCTGGAACCACCCTCAGCCCCTGATGTACCAACACTTCACAAATTTCTGAGAGAAACTCTCTGGTACAACTTCTGTCTCCACGTTGCTTTTCAAACTGAGAGTTGCAGAACAACAGAATAACAGAAAGCCAAAGCCTGAAACTAAATAACAGTTCAAACAATTGACTGCTTTACGAGACAGCTGCCTGGAAACATGAACATTCATTTAAGAGAAGTACTAAATACTTGGATACAAAATCTGCATGTTGGTCAAAGCAAGGTGCAGTATCTGATTCAGACGGGTTTCCCTGCAAAATACCAAGAGAGAGCTTTAAAAAAAATACAGACAACACAGCCATCCACAAACTGATACAACACTATCAGCTAACTGTACCTGCAGTTGCTCTCATCTTCTTGGAGGTCTCAGGCTCCCTGGGGATAGCCTCCAGGTTTCTCCCCTGCAAAGATGCTGCTGTCCCTGAGCAGAGAGAGGATCACTGAAAGCAGCCAGAGGACTTTGCTGAATGATCATTTCTCTCCCAAGCAGGTTTGCCCTGCTGCTCAGGGGAGGATGGCTCCGCTGTCTCTGTGCATGCATCTAAAGCCTTTTCTCAGTGGGAGGCACCTTGAAGCTGTCCATGCATTTCTGATTTTAAAGAGGCAGTGCAATGCAGAGACAATAGAGCACAGCCCTTTTTTTTTTTTTTTTTTTCCCCCCTGCTTTAAACCCCCTGAATGCATCGAATTGATGGAGCGGGTGTGTTACCAAGTCTGAGCATGGAAGGTGTAAAACCCCGGTCTGCACTTGCTCTTTGAGTTTTGCCTGCGCTGGGCAGCAACCACCTACACCTAATGTGACACAGAAGCAAAATACAAACCTTCCAGTGGAGAGGAGGTGGAGGAAGGAAGATGAACTACTTTCCCAGGGACCTTTCTCCGTGGATCTCTCCCCGGCTATTGTCTTCAGAACTGCAGCTGTGGCAGCTCCTGCAGAAGGAAGGTCAAACGTTGAATAGCCGTATTTTTTTTTCGTAAATCAGAGGACCCCCGACAGCTTTCCTTGCCCTCTCAGGGAATTACTCAGAGCAGAGAAGTGGCAGTGAATCCTTAAGGACTAGGTGTCCTTTGTTCATGCTGCCTTCTTGTTTCTCTGAAGCACTCGCACCCCAGGGAGCAGTTCTCTTGCTTCCCAAATCTCCAGAAGGAAAGGAAATGCACAGCAGATCCCCTGTCCTCTTCTGCACCTCCGGTCTTACTCACATTAGTTGGCGTTTTCCAAGATGCATAGTTGGGACACATTGCATAGTCCCCCGCAGATAAGACTGTAGGAAGCTGTAGAAAGTCATGAAGAGTGTAGAAGGTTTGCAGAAAACTTGAAATATGTCCCCTACGATGCACACTCACAAGACTCGGCTTTCATGAGCTAGTGGGTGCTTATCTCTGGAAGAAGGAGATAAGGAAAGAAACCTGTTAATGTTTCTGAAATGTGGCTGGGGTACAAAGGCCACTAATGTGACATTTCTTCCAGAAAACTTGTGGAAGCCCAAAGAGTCCCCACTCTCTGGAGCCAGTGGACAGCATTCAGAATTTCACAGCAAATACTTTGCTTGACTTTATTTTTAACAGTCAGTGTAATAAGTGAAAAGCCATTAAGGGATTTTTAATATCCTGAAAGGGTGCAACCAACTGAACAATGAGGAAATCAGATACAGTCCACTTGTTAAATTCTGTCAGAAAAAAATGTAAATATAGCAAGTATAGGGAGAGGCAGAGAGAACTTATGGTGTACATCAGAACCACATCTAACAGATTCCTAAAATGGGCCACATAAACCTTAGACAGCCCTTAAGAGAAGTGAGTAAACTAAAGGGAGCTCTCGCAAGCTTTTCATTAGGAACACACATGATCTCTTTAAGACTTTGTTCAGCTGTCTCACATTAAGTTATCTAGTGAGTTAATGAAGCAACATGATACCCAAATATGTATATTTCTTTAGGCCAAAACCTCAGCTGCTGCAGAAGTGTCTATCCCCACTGACTCAAGGCAAGCTGGCATTGGAGCCCTGGTAACTACAGCCCCTCCAGATCTGCACTTCATGCTCGGTACATAGCTTCTGTACAGCAGTTGTTCATCTACCGTGCCCCAAGTAATTGTGCTATATCTGTCAAGCTGTTTCTCGGAAAATACTAGTAATATTGTGAAATGATGGGATTTGCATGTACTGTGCAAGGCAGTGTTTCGTAGTTGTTGAATAGAAGTCGTTGAATAGACAATGAATCCAATGGTCCTGAGAGCTGCCCTTACAGCCAAATGGGCAGAGTGAAAGTTGAAAGGTGGGTCTAGAGCCTCAATAACTGTCAGGGTAACCTACCCCGCTACAGCAAGGGCTGGGCCGGTACTGGAAGGACTCTAAAGCCGTGGGGTAAATGCAGGATGATTTCCCAGCTGCAGACGCTGTGTAAGAAGTGCCAAAGGCTGCCTTCAAAAACCATTGTCTCTTGTGACTTCTGGTGTAAATGTGCTGAAAGAGCAGCTCCCTGGGGCGGCCGTCTTTCTGCGCACAGCTGGGATTTTTGTTGTCCCAGCATTGCTCAGCCCAGGGGCTTTGCAGCCTACAGGTCTCCTCTTCCTGGGAACAGGGCACTGGGAGGCTTGCAGACACCGAGAGATCCTTCCCCACAGCCTGTATGACATCCATTTATCACAGGTTTACACTCCATTACACTGTATTTCAAAGTCGCCATTATTCTATAGAGAGCACATGATTCTGGTGTTGGACTTCTGCATAGGACAAGGCTTCTCCTTGACAGCATTTATTGGTGGTTCCCCGACGGTGGCACAACATTTAGCATGGCATCACAATTTCCTGAGACCAGTGTTACCAGCGTGACAAATTCAGGCTGAGAAAGAAGAGTTGATACTGAAAACTATCATGTAAACAATTTACATTCCTGTTTGTTTGTTTGTTTTTTCATTAGTATGCTCACAGTTTGAACAGGGAAGTTACTGGGAGGCTAAATGATGCAAAAAAGATTGCAATGTAAAGTACTTGCTTAGAGACTTTCAAATAATGAATTTCTAAAACTAGCATTTAGCCTGGGAACAGACCTAGGGACTCTGGCTTTCATTTCAAAACAGCAAACTCAACAGCTACTGTCTAATTTTTCCTAATTGCTAAATAAATTGGACTGTGAGCGAGGTAATTAATCCTAGGGGACTTACATAAGCTTTGCATAAAGTATAGCAGGAGTTTTACAAAGGTTGCTAATACAAATCAGTTGGTGAAATGTGACAAAAGCATCAGACATCCTGTGTTTTTCTGGAAAAACAAACAAAAGGTAGCAGCACACATGGATTACAACCATGTGTATTTCTGCTCAGTATTCCAACCAGACATTCAGCTCAGGGGCTTTACTACATCTAGGAGTGTGTAACTGACATTAATGTTCAAGAGGATGCTAGACTTGCTTACGTAAAGAGTTGGGTATATTTTCCTAATACCTGAAAACATGCCTTGAGGTACTAGAGGAAAGTGACTTTTGGATGGAGCTTGGCAAAAACGTGCACACAGGAATAGTCCCACCATACTCAGCTGTTCCAATGGTGACTTGGACCGTGGAAAAGTCGTGGGAATGAGAGAGCAGAGAGGTTTTTGACTTTATTAATGGATTATGTCATCATGTTACTTTCCTCTTGCCACCTTTTTCTACTTCCTTACTGAGTGTGTCACTTCTTGGCTTAGGAAGAGGGACAAAGCTTCTGAAGGAGCAGCAGAGCAGGCTGTCAGCAACCATAGTGACACTCTACAAAGATGGTTGTCAGCACTGTTGGAATAGCAGACGTGGCACTTTCATCCAAAAGGTCTTTTCCTTTCAGAGCTGCGTAGGTTTCTGTGGACAGATCGCACAGCTGAATGACACAAGGTTTAGCGGAGCTGCACAGACCTCACTTAATGTGCAAGGTGACCCAGGGGCAATCAACAATTTTCTTTCAAGCAGAAGCTCCTTTCTTTTTGCTTGTCTCTTTTTTTTCACTTTTTAATTCTCATCCGGTGTGTATTTCCTATTTTCTTCATCTTTGTTCATCATTTCATGATTGTGTAAGAAAATGGTGTTTACGTTGCTCAGCTCAGCTTACCATGGCAATCTTTGGTGAGAAGCACAGCCCTGCCCTCAACAATAGTCTATGAAATATGTAGAAATAGCTGTAAGAAGGTTATGTTCCTAACTGGCGCTTATCACCCTTACTAGAGAAGCCCATCTGACCTAAAGCAAAAGCGGCAGTATTTGGGGCAGTGTAGGAAGCAGGGACCAGCCCAGGGGCTGTGTACAAGTTTTGATGCCACAGTACTATGACATGAATTTCATGCCCAAAAAACCTTTTCAGTCTTTAAACATTCAATGTTTTGTTTAATTATTAAATACTACTTTTTTTTTTCTTTTCTTTCACATGTGTTTGTTAGGCTTTGTGTTTTTTTTTTTAAACTCAGCCTTCCTTAGAGCAAATGCCTGTTACCACAAACCCTCTCTTGAGCAGAAGGCCTCTGAAAGGGAAATGTTAAGTGCTTTTCTCCCTGAATCCTGCCTGGGCACACTCATAGCTTGGCGGATACTCACATGCCAGCTGTGGGCAGTGGCAGGGTGCATCTCCTTGCTGTGGCAGCAAGGCAGAAGATCGCTGAGACAGCCTCCTTTGCCCCACTCACCAGCTTCATTCTCTGCTAAGACTCTTCCCTGTCACAATAGTCCCAGTCAGCTCTTAGAGACTGCTTAATTTTAGAGTAAGCCTGTCAAACCCGTTTCCACAGATTCCCGAAAAGCCACATCACTGTAAGTTCTGTCTGTTCTGTGCCAGATATATAGAATAGCAAAGATCAGTGCTTGGAAATTTTTGCCAATTGGAGATAAAGATCAGTTTAGCCAGTTGAAATGTTCTGTTTTGATATCGACCTCTAACAAATGTTACTGCAGTTACTTGGAATTTCCAGGAATGTTTTTTTTCTTTTCAAACTCAAAAACTGGAGACTCAAACTCAATCCTTTGTGCCCATTGTACAAAAGAATACTTACTAGGCAAGGGTTACAGTTGCAGAAGGCAAGACAGTTTTTCTTTATTTCTGCATGTTGTTCTAAGAGAATGAAGATGAAATAATATATAGCTTATATAGAACAACAGTTTGGAAAGAGATCTCAGGATTATCGTCTAATCTGTACTGCTGTTCCTGAGCTGCATTACATATACCCAAATAATTTATGACACATGCTTTCCTGGCCTGCTGGTGAAGAAATTTTGTAATGTAGAGCTCATGTCTTCTGTATGAGACTATTAAATATTTCTTAGCTGCACCAGATAGAACCTTATTGCTCCTACTTCGAATTCCTCATTTTAATCTCTCTGATCCAGATCTGGAGTCTGCATTTGGCCTCTTCTTCAAGAACTGGTTTACTCATACCCCATATTCAAAAGCCTTTGAATTTAGAAATGTCTAAAAGGAGTTTAATATGTCCTGTATCTCAGTCAGGTTTGTCGTTCCTTTGCATTTTCAGAAAGAGTCTTGT